GCCGACTTCTTGGTGACGTCAGAGGGGGCCGCGCGCTCCCCGCAGGCGTGCGCGAGATGGGGACCCAGGGCTGATTGGGCTGGCGAAGGGCTGGTGGCTTTCCAGAGCGACATGTATGAATGGATGGAGACGGGTGGGGACATGTGGAGCACCACCGACCGCTGGAAGCTGCTTTGATCCAGAGGATACAAGTGAGGGGAGAAGGAAGAAAGCAGCGTGCTGTAAACTTGGGCTCTGACTCAGACAAGTGGTGGTGATGCATAGGGGGTGCATGTGCACCCCCTGAGAGCACTGGTGCACCCCCTGACAGCCAGTGTCTCCCACTTAGGCGGGGCAGGTGGGAGCACTGGTGCCCCCCCTGAAGGCATTGGCTGGGGAGTGGGGGCACCAGGAGAAATGCCGCTGGCCCTTCCCAGCATGGCCCTGGCCCTTCCAGGCGCGTTGCTGGCACTTCCCGGTCAACACAATTGGCCTCAGGGGGACCTCCCCCCGCCTCGGTTGCTGAGCTCCCACTTAGGCGGGGCAGGTGGGAGCACTGGTGCCCCCCCTGAAGGCATTGGCTGGGGAGTGGGGGCACCAGGAGAAAGTGCCCCCTGGGATTTGGCCTTGTCAGCTGCAAGTGATTCATCAGACCTTGTCTGCATACACCATGATCTAGAGCAGGGGTTTCAACCTTTTTAGGTCAGTGTATCCCCACGCGTACCCCTGGTTGAAAACCCCTGATCTAGAGCAGTGGTTCTCAACCTTTTCTGTACTGGGAGTCATTTGTAAACATTGATGGCCAGACCCAACCCAGTGCCCCCAGGCCCCAGCCCCCCAGTGTGTGGGGCAGCGGATGGGTGTTTTATGACTCTCTCATATATTCTTGTGACTCACTTTTGGGTCACGACCCATGGTTTGAGAAACGCTGATCTAGAGGATGGATGGTTGCTTACCTATATACACACACACATACATATGTATATGATATGTAATATATAGATACACACATGCACATATAGCTTTTTAAAACCATTGGTCTCTTTTTCAAGTGAATCAGTGAAAAAGGAACAGCACTTATTTCCAAGAAGCACATAAATCTTTTACACATGTGGTAGACTATGAAGGGCTGTGTATTTTCCCTAACATAGTGTCACTTAGTGATGTCATGCACAGGGCTAAGACATGTGTGAATATATATGTGTGCATACATATGTGCATGTGTGTGTTTATTTATACACACACACACACACAAATGTATCTAGATATGTATATATATTTGTGTGTGTATTTATAGCTATATACCTACAAATAGGTATATAGCTATAGACAGATAGCTTTTAAAAAACATTGATCCCTTCCTCAATTTAAACAGTAAAAAAGGGTAATGCTACTTGTTTCTGTGAAGCACTTAAAAGCACAGCTCTCACAAACATGTGACACAGCAAATACACACTCACTTGCATATAATTTTTAGACATCCAGATCATTAAAGACTCTTCCAAGTGCAACAGCAGCTCATCCCATTCTTCTTTTTATATCCTTTTTGATATTACTCCAAAGTGGACACTTTTTCCCACTTGTTTTAGTTGGCTTTATTTCTTCATATTGCCTTTTTTTTGTATTTTCCATGCTGCTTTTCAGTTCAAATTTTCTGCTTTTCTGGTCTGCTTTGTTAGTTCTTGTCTGTATATTCTTGCTATGAGGTCAATATCATCTGCAAGATTTGGAGAGCTAAAGATATTTCAGTAAAATAAAAGTCAGTGTATATAAAAGCACCTGATATGCCAGTTGTATCGGATGGGTTGTAATGCTGGAGAATGAGGAAAGCCAATGAAAAATTTCAGATGTCAAAAAGAGTTAGTTGAGGGGAATATTGAGAATTTAAAAACTGCAAAGAATAAAATCAAGAGAATAAATAGGTTAGGAAAGAACGCTGTTGCAGAAGGTTCAGGAAAGATGGCGGTGATCATTTGGATGTGTCAAAAATGGACCTAGAAAGGACATCAAAGCTGAGTACAAGGAATGAAAAACTGGAAAACTGAGGATTTATTGAATAGATATGGTGAAGACTGTCATAAAACAAAAAGGTTTAAAGTTGGATGAAGCCATGAACTTGGTGCAAGACACAAAGCAGTGGAAAGGCTTAATTTGACCTCATTGTCACTGCATGAGTACTTTTATTATTTGCTTATATATAAACATATGCACACACAATATAACCATTTTGGGGCAATCAAAATATTATTTGAAAACATAAATCTATTTAAAGACCTAGGCAGATGATTGTTTCTTTATCTGTATTACTTCATACATTAGAATAGATTTATATAATATGTACATTTTTCCCAATTGGATTTTTTTAATTCCTTGATAGCAATGATGACCTTGTAAAGGGAGGGGAGTCATATTTACATTTAAACTGAGGCTGTGAACTAAGTGAACTGGGATCAAGTGAATGATTATGCCTTATTGAACTGGAACATAAGGGTGAACTTTAACAGTGCATCCAAGATAAATGAGATCTTAAGAGAAACTGTAACTTCAACATTCATTATTTTGAAACAAGGACATCAATCCATCCCCAGTGGTTGTTACTTCCTTTATGACCTAGTTTTTCCATGGGAAAAGAACCTCCTAGGACCAAAAGAACAACAATTCAAGAGAATAGGAAAGGTAATATTAATCCCTTGAAAAAAATATACTGGCAGTGGAAATATATTATTTGTACATTTGGGGAAACTTCTCATTGTTGTTCTTCGGAGGTCAGTGTTTATAAACTGCTTCTTTGCATACTGGTACTTGCATCTTCTGCCAGGGTCTAAGTGTACTAAGATTTAGTTTGTATAATTGGCAGAAGGATAATTGATCATATAAAAACAAGTAAAAAACTAAGACCTAACATAGCCGTTTAAGTAGAGATACTCTACATGAATAATGAAGGTACTAAAATTTATATGAAATTGTAAGATGGTGCTATAAGTTGGTTTTTTGTTTTGTTTTTTTTGCAAAGATCTTATACAGAGGTGAATTAAATACTTCTGTTGAAAATGTTAAGATTCCAAAATTATAGGGACCTGATCCTGCAAAGATCTTGTTAATTTCAGTTTTCCAGATTGACTCAATTCCAAAATAATGAATGCAGTACCAGCAAATCAGCACAGCAAATCACAAGAGGCAAAGATCAACCATTTGAAAATCTTTTTCTCCTTTTCTGCCAAACTCAGTTTTTGTTTCCTTTGGAAGAATACATGACAACATAGTCACCCAATGCACAACATTTTCTTGAACACTGCTGTTTTGCTATAGGAGCTTGTGTTGCACGTACCCTGGTCTTAGGGCATGAATGAAAATAGAACCAATAATAAGACACCATGAAATTAAAATATAGTGAAGACTAATTATGCTTCCATTGTGCATCCATCTGGCATGGGATTCAAACTATCATGTATCTGGACTTGCAGTTCAGAGTGTCTTCTCCCATTCTTAAATTGCTGGGTCAGTTCTGCCTTTTTAATCTTGTTCCTTGCAAATTGTTCCACTGTCGGTTTTAATAAACGGAACCAGAATACTGCACAGTGATTATAATGATGATATAAGCTGCAGGAAATCAAACTAACAAGAAAAATTTCTGGGTCACACTCTGAATTACTGGAAATTCACAAAAAAGGGGAAATATTGGACAAATATAAAAGCAAGGGTTTTGTAGTAGATCTCTTGAATGTTTTAAGCCACATGTTGATTAAGACATTGAAAACTAAAAGGAAGACAAATGAACCCTTGTTTAATTCCCGGTTGTAATGCCATAGTTATTGCTCTCAGACAGGTAGTATAGTTTAAGGGCCAAATTCTGGTCAAACCTGTGTCAGCTAGATGGAGCTATCATTCAGGGATTTCTCAGCACAGAAGCTGTGTGACTATCATATTTATGTTGAGGCAGCTACATAGATTCAACACCTAGCCCAAAGAGTCTCTTTTTCTCAGATACTGAATTTATGGCCCAGTCATTTCTGACACCACTGTGGTCACTGGAAGCTGGAAATAACACAGAGAAGGCCAGTTTTATGACTGCGTGAAGAGAACCTTGAATGGACTAGTGTGGGATAACCTGAGGAAAATTGTATTGACCAAAATATTCCTGTCCTTTCTTATTGCATTCTGGAGTAGTGAGGGAAGAGAACCTTCTTCCAGGTGCTTCCACTTACTATTAAGAACCCATTTTTTATCCTTTGTCCTTCAACTGTAAACTCTTCAGTTTATTTAAGGAGAAAAGAGAGGGTGAAGATTCACAGAAAGCTTCTGGGAGAAGCCGTTTGAGGAAATAATTTACATCCTCTGTCACCTTTCACAGAGCAGATGTATTTTCTCCAGGTTAAACTGTCTTTGTGGTGGGTCAACCTAATGCCTTGCTGACATGTAGCTGTGCCGCTTAGCTATGTTAGCATAGGCCATGGCCCCAGGTGACTAACTCATAAGGGAAATTTTTTAAGCTATAAACAATACTCTTTTTTGGATACTTGTTGGTAGCTCCTAGTTGGCATTTGTGACTTCTGTACTTGCATTACATCCAGCATATGGTGTCATGCTTAGGAGTGTGTTTATATATATCTATCTATCTATCTCTCACAGAAGAACAGAACCTATTTGCATACATTTAATGAGATAAACATGTTTTTTTTAAGGGGTGACTGTTTAACTGAATACTAATTTCTATGTTCCTAATGAGCTGATTACAGCAGAGAGAGGTCAGGAAAAGGTCATCAATCTTATCTGATTATGAAACATTCAGGTAGGCTTCTGGGATAGTCTGGAAATTTGCTCCAGTATCCTAGGTACAAGTGTTTAGGGTGGAAAGTATTGCAACTTGTTATTTTTAACATAAACCACAGAAAATCGTAAGTCTAACAGTTGGAAAAGGCTGTGATTTAGAGGAATTTGTCTAATTTAATATCACCGTTTTATTAATATGGAATTTAAGTAAGAAGTTGTTGAATGCAGCATACCACAATTGCTAGTATTGATAACCACAAACTAACACTTTTGAATTCTGACAACATTTGAATATTGAATAGAATTGTGAAAAACTATCCCTGTATCTAATTAGATATTTGCTCTCTAAGTTTCCTGCAGCGTTTGCTAACTATTTCATGTGATAGTTTCATTGTTTTATTTTAACAAAAAACATATTAGCATTGTATAAACATGTTACACCTAACTTCTTAAGGGACTGACAGGACCTGATGGATCATCTGGCCCATCTGGTCGAAAAGGACAAAAGGTAAGATTAAGGCTACTTGTTCAATTTTGGAATATTTTTTTTTTCCCCCACAGGCAAATGTGATCATTTTAACAAAGCTAATGAAATTCTCTCTCTTTCCTTAAATTTAGCAATGTTAAATAGAATGGATCCTGATTCTGCTAGTTCAGCAGTGGGCAAAATACAGCCCACAAGCAGGATCCGGCCTGCCAAGGGATTTTATCCAGCTACCTAACCTGGTCATGATCCATTGGGGTTGCCCTGTGCTGCTGGGCTGGGCTGTGCTGAGCTGCTCCACAATTGCGCTATACAGTGTGCCTGTGTTTGGGCAAGGGCAGCTGAGGTTGGGTCACGGGTTTGCACTCTGCCCCTCTCCCAGGTTGGACCAGTCATGATCTCTCATGTGGGGAGTGGATCACAGCTCTACCTTGGCCCTGTGCTGTCACCTGCCTGCGATCCTGACCCCAGCCCTGCCATCAATTCGGTTTCTGGATGCCACTCCCTGCTTGCCTGTGGCCCCATCCTATCCCATCCCCTGGCTGACCTTGCCCAGCCTGCAGGAGTCCCAGGCTGGTCCAGTAATCTACCACATAGGAAGTTTTGGTGACCTGTTGAGAGCCAGGGATGGGGGTGGGGTGTTGACCTGGCAGCAGGGAGAGGGGTGCTTACCCAGGCCACAACTCACCAAACCCTGCTAAGTGGCCCTCCAGTCCAAATAATTGCCCACTCCTACACTCCTTATGAAGTACTGAAGCCTTTCAGTTCCCACTGACTTTACAAGGAGTTGAATATGTTGAGCATTTCTAATAGGGTATTCTTTATCTTGCATGATTAGACTATATAATACTGGGACAATTACAGCTGGAAAATCTGAGTTAATCTGTAATTCAAATGTAGAACATGTATCATAGGAAGGCAGAATAACCAAAATGTTCAATTTTTCCCCCTGAAAATAAGGCCAATATTTATTTACAGCCCTTTCTTACGCTAAACGTTGCTTTCCTTTATCTTAATCAATAGTAGCTAAATAGTGAAACAGTCTGCCTAGAGAGATTGTGGAATCTCCATTACCAGACATTTTTAGAGGCAGGTTAGACAAATACTTGCTAGGTGTTAAACAAGCATGTCTTTTCCCTGAGGAGAGGATTGGACTAGCTAAACTTCCAAGGTCCCTTCCAGAGGCCTGTTTTCTTATGACTGTATAATTTTAAAAGGACGGCTCAAGTAAGTGTTAATCAAAGTGAGGAAGGATTGCAGACTACGCCTTTTTGCTGGTAGCTGCCCAGAGTGAAGGATTGTATCTTGTATGTTGTGTGCAACAGTAAGCATGATAATTGAGCTTGACACACTAATAATACCAGTGTTACTTTTCAGGGTGAACCTGGATTGCCTGGAGCTCATGGGCTTCCAGTAAGTGACGTATTTATTATTGTCTGAAAAATTAGACTACTGTATTCATATTAAATATATGCCATTCATCCCACTTTCACACTTTCCCACTCTGGGCCCCAGAATCCTCCCCCACTCCTGGGCACCTGCCAGCTCCGGGCCCTACACGTGGATTACTGGTTTTAGAGACTTGGGAAGGCTTTTTTCTCCTTTGTTTCTCTCCTTTGTTTTCAATGACTGCTCATTTGCGTCAGGGTATAGCTTTTGTTATGGGTTTCAGTGCTTGATAAATAGTTAAGCCTAAAAGAATTAATATTTTAATCCTTTGCAACATACTTTATTGTGTGTATCTATAAATTCATGTTGCTGCAGGTTAGCTTAGTCAATCAACAGAATTATTTCCATTGCTTTCTGAAATCAGGTATTGCACAACAAACTCTATATCTGATATTCAGTATCAGTGAAAGTTACCAAAATATTGATCATATCAGTGTCAAGCTATTAATGCTTTGCTATTCAGGTGTTAAAGGAATTACTGTGATTTTGTGTTTGATCAAGCAACATGTTCCTACCTTTGCCATCCAATCAGATTAACTGTCAGAAAACTTCTCAGCAAGTTTTCTTTTTTTACAGGGTAAGGGAATTCTTGGATCAGCTGTAAGTATCATGTTTCACAACCCATATGCTGATTGTTTTAGTTTTGATATTCTTTATTAATATGCACCATTTTTAATTAACATTTTAGACCTGTTGGTGTATCCAGGGCAACTATACATGTGTGTTCCTATTTAAATTTTTTTTTTTGCTGTTCTGTTTTGCAAAAATATTTGTCTTATGTGATTGGATATTTTTCATACACATTATTGTAAATAATTTATAAATATGTCTTTTACTTGGTTGTTATAGGGTCCCCCTGGTGCAGCAGGACTTCCTGGTGAAGTTGGCCGTGTTGGTCCACCGGTAAGTACCAAACTGTTTGCCAGAAATGTTCATTTATTTCTACTTTATTTCCCAGAACTACTTCTAGCCAGCAAACAGGGGTTAACAGCACTGTGCCAGCAGCTAACAACATGTGTTGTTTTCCCTGCATACAAAAAAGGAACAGCCAACCTCCCCCACAAAAACCAACCAAACACTGCAGGAAAAGATTCCTAGATTTGTAAAAAGGGCTGCTAAAATTTAGGAAATGACAACATTAAGGCTATCTGTAGAACTGTAACTTTGCACTGTTGTGTGCATTATATCTTTTGAAGTATTTTACTACAAGAGTCATAAATTGTTTTTTCCAAGGACTTCTGTCTCATATCACTGAATAGAACTGTTGCTAAATATTTCTTAGGATTAGCATTTGGGTTATTCAAAGAGATTCTTAATGTATAATATCTTTATCCATTGGGTATAGGATTTTTTGTAGTGTTTATCCTCGTAGCCAAATACTTAAGTCGTATGCTTGAAAAATACTTCCTGCTTCTAGGAGAAATTTGAAGGCACAAGACACAAATGAGCACAACCTTTCTCCTTCTTAGAATTAAGTTTATTTCCCACTATGAAAGTTGAATTCCTGAATTTGAGCATTCCTGTTTTCAGACCAGCTACTTCGCCTTTCCTTTTAGTTGCCTCACTCTTAGTGACTGCATGCCTGAATATGCAGCTGCTAAGTCATTACTGTGGACTAATGAAACTTATCCTAAATTATTTAGGGTGATCCTGGGAAGAGAGGACTACCAGGCCTACCAGGACCACCAGGCCAAAGGGTGAGTGATTATTTTTAATGTATGTTATTGTTTGGAGAAGTGTTGATGTTCTTGTGTGGGCAAAACCCCATACAGTCAAGGAAATGACAAGGAATATCATCAGGGCAGGATTAAAACATAGGTACTGTCAGCTCATGTATAGAGCCCCAGATCCTAGACTTACACAATAACGTCTAATTTTACTTTTAATACAAAAGTAAATTTCTAGCTCTTGTGATTGCAAAGAAAATTTAAAAAAATGTGAACCTAAGTGTAACAGCCACAGTCCTATCTTCCTGAGTCTGTAGACAGTCTAAAACAATAGGTTTAAGAGGTATGAGCTGCCTTACCCTATCATCTCAATGAAATCTCCTCATTTGTCCCTATAGTTCCATAAAAGATACCTCTATTGAGTGAGTCAAACATTTCAGAGCAGTGCCTCTGGTTCTCCTCTGTGGGCCTTTTTTGAACAGGGATATTTGTTTTTCAGGTTGTTTGCATTCTTGGTATTCACAAGTTGTGAAAATTAGAACTGAAAGTCACTGGAAGACACTGCATGTCAGGCAGAAAGCAGGGTAGATTTGTACAGACCAACTAAATTATAGATGCATAAGCTTACAGATCAACTAAATTATAGATGTATAAGCTTTCATAGGCAGCAGCTTACTTCATCAGGTGCTATGAAGGGGCTGCAGGAAGCTGAGCTTCTGATTAGAAAGTAGTGATTAAAATACAAAGGGTAGGGAAGTGGGAGGAAAAAAGGAAAGGGAACTGCTAGGAGAGGCAAGGTTCATAGGAGAGAGAAAAACAAAGCAGTTAGCCTGTTGAGGGACATAGGGGTTATAAAAGCTAATTTAGATAATGGGATAAGAACCTGTAGTCTTGTGTTACACCACACTCAACACAATCCAGTCTATGGATAATTTCCTGTTCTGCCATTTTCCTGTTCAGGTTTGTTTTAAAGTTTTGTTTTCTCTGAACAGCTGCTCTGAGGACAGTGATGGGATGTGTCCAGGCAGGCTAAAATGTTCTGCCAGAGCCTTGTCTGCCTGTCTGGAATTTATGTTGAATCAGTGTTCATTCATTCTTACATGTAGGGATCGCCCTGTCTGTCCAATGCAGACAGCAGAGGGGTATTGGAAACAGGTGGTGGTGTATATGATATTGGTCGAGTTGCAAGTGAATGGACCTCTGATGTATAATTCATGTTAGTTGGTCCAGTGATGATGTGATGTGGTCTGTGTTGATGAGGGAGCTCAGCTGGCATCTGGGTCTGGAGAAAAGTCTGGTGCTTGGGAGGTATAGGAGGTATGTAACCTGTTGCTTGAAAATGTGAATGATACAATGGAGAAAAATAACTAGGAGATAAATACAGAGCAGGAATCTATACCAGGTTTTGAGGTTTCTTCTTTATTTTCAGTGGTAGTTCAATGCCTTTTTGAATCCTGAAGTTCACTGACCTCATTCCAATTGGGTCATCATATGCCCTTGTATTCCAGCAGCCTTCTCCAAATTTCAGCCTTCAGGATTTAAACCAGGGGTGGGCAAAATGGCAGATCTGCCCAGTGTCCAGGCTTCATTTCCCAGCAGCCCCTGCCCATGTCATTGAGCCAGTTTCCATGGAGATCCTGGTTGGGGTGGGGCTGTGACAGCGCAGGGCCAGGGTTTCCAAGGAGACTGACCCAAGCACCGCTGGCAGGGTGTACTGCTGGGCCAGGAGCTGCTCTGGGGCTGGGACCAGGATTTTGTGATGGTGTCAGTGCGATCCACTGCCTGCACACCCTGGGCAGGAGCACGCAGGCAGCAGATCATGGCTGTGCCACAGCTCCAGACCATGCTGTCACCACTGCAAAATCCTGGCTGTAGCCCAGGACTGGCCCGCCACCCTGCTGTGCACCCTGCCAGTGGTGCTTGGGTGGGTCTCCTCGGAAACCCTGGCCCTGCGCTGTCCCAGCCGCGCCTCTCCGGGGCTCTCCATGGAAACCAGCAGCAGTGACGTGGGCAGGGGCTGCTAGGAAATGGAGCCTGCCATGGACTGAAATCGGCCTGTGGGACAGACTGCCCACCCATGATTTAAATTATTCCCTGAAGAGGCCCTCCTATGATTTCCTTATGCTTCCTTAGTCCAACAGAAGGCATTTCTCCATATAAGAAACTGCCAGCCCTTCCCATGAACTGGTTCCATCCACACAGTGGGGTTTCCTAATGTGCTTCAGTCCTCCCTTCCAGGTTCCATGAACTTCATTTCATTTCCTAACAACTTTCCTTTCACTGCTGAGTCCATTCCTATTTGTACACAGATCTCTAATTTCTTCATTACAGTTGGTTGACAGACTCCTGAATTGTCTATCCATTCTTCTGGTGTGAAAAGGATTTTTGTCTCTAGGCCATGGGTGTTCAGCTTCAAGGTGGCTGGGGTACCCAGACCTGGAGCCATAGAGGAGACCGGGTGGGAGCCCAGGAGCTGCATGTAGCCTACAGTGCACCAGTTGGACAGACCTGCTCCAGAGCACTGAGCTGCCATAAATTGGGAAAAAATGTTTTCTATACAAAGGAGATTTTATTTTGCTCAATTTCAAATTAACAAGGTTTCAACATGAAACAGCACTTTAATTTTCATTACATTTATCCAAACAATTTCTTTAAGAATCCCAAATCTAAAAGCAGTTTTTGGTAAATTACAATTTAGATGCACTTCTCCTGAGAACATCATATAACAACTTGTTAATGTTGCACTGCACAGCCAAATGGGATATGTATACGTTTGATGGCCCACATAAGAAAATGAGACGCAGCTATGGTTATTTTAAAGAAAACAAAATGGCCTGTTTTTAGGATGTACTGATTTCATATGTAACTTTTATTCTGAATTTATATGAAAACTTTTATTTTATTTTACATCTAATTATAGAAATATAACTGTAGATATGTAAAAGAAATCTGCAAGAGCTTCTAACAGAAAAAAGAAGGTTATTTTGCATTGTAGAAAAGCAATATTAAGATGGAGTATAGTTTTTTTCAGGTGCATCCAAAATCCTGCTGTTTGTGGCACTGAGCATATTAAACTTCCTTTCGGTTGATTGCATTTCCAAAGATAAAATCCATAAATTCTGCTTTCCTCCACCATACTATCCAATATGTCAGGAATGTTTTTAACTCCTTTTTATTAACTTTCAAACATTTCATCTAATTTAGGGAACAATTGGGCTACATGATGGAGATCCACTGGTAAGACATTTACTTATCTTTTTGGAAAAGATTGTCTTAATAATAAATCTTTAAAATTTTTCATGAACATTAACTCAGTGTGTGGATACTTTTTCAGTGTCCCAATGCTTGTTCACCTGGTCGTCCAGGACATGCTGGCCTGTCAGGAATGAAGGTAAGCAAATGAGTTGGCTTTAGTTAGATGTGTTACCATTATAAATACAGGCTAGCTCCTTGAATTACTACTGTGGGAACTAGCTGGCCTGATATTAAGGTGGTTTGATATTAGTTTCAATGAAGATTGTATTTGGTACTGTTGTATTGAGCATTGTACCATTTCATCTTCAACTGCCAAAAAGAGCCATCACCATTTAAATATCTCATTGCTGCATTTATAACTTAAAAATTTCAGACATGCAAATTATTCCCAGTTTTTAGTCTTCTGTTTTTTTTCCTACAAAGACTAATGTGCCAAATTGAAATAATACCATCTTGTCTCTTGCTAATTCTGATTTCTTTTATGTTATGTTTTTTTCATAAGAATTCTAGGGATAGTGTCTCTATGAGGGAATTATTAGCTGAATGTTGGAAATGCTTTTTTGCTAGATATGGGAATGTGTTTTTCTGAAGGTGGTAAAATGGCTATCATAGCATGTATCAACGAGCAGGCAGATGAAGAGGGTTGTTATAAAGAGGTGTTGTAGAGGGAACTCCCAAATAGCGCTAGGCAGTCTGTGTTGAAAGACCCTGTATCTCAAGTTGCAAATAGTGTTCATTTATTTTTTAATGTATCTTAGGGTCATAAAGGTGCAAAAGGAGAGCCTGGTGAACCAGGAAGACAGGGTCATAAGGTAAGGAAGCGTTTTAGTGGGAGAACTGATATGGAAAGGAAGTGATTGGTAGCAAAATAACAATGGCTTAGCCACTTCTTCGAAAAGCGTTATCAAAATTAATGTTTGTTCTGCCACAGTGCTGCAGAGAAAGTGACTTGCTGCACTGTACTTGAGCCAACATCATCATCTGCTAATTTGTTCATTTCTTTTCTGCATTTATGATTGGCTTGGCGATTCCCTTCTCACTTTTCATATTGTCCTTTTACTTGTTATTGAACTAATTCAAGAATACAAAAAGGATTAATTGGTTTAAAAATATTAAGATACAAGTCTAAAGAAATTCTGTAGGCAATCAGGGAATACCTATGATAGCAGAAGTGAATGAGGAGAGGAGAGAGATAACTAGGTGTAGGTAGAATAAGAAAGGGAAAACAAAACAGATATAAAGGAAATGGGCAAGGACCAAATCTGTTTTGCAGTTCAACTACATTATCATCCAAAAGTGTGGGTTATTTAGAATGACATCTTTTCAGACTCTGGTTTCTGTAGGGAAATTTAGGGAATCTCCCACTGCCTTTCTTGATGCTGTAACTCATCCACAGAGGATTTGTCTTTCCAGGAGAGATGAACTAGAGCCTTTCAAAAGATAAATGAACTTAAAAAGTAGGGACAAAAAGTTGTGCACTAAAACCCTTTCCTTACATGGAATGAGGAAAATATTAATTTATTGGAATTGGTTCCTCCTTTTTTTGAACGAATGAGATATAAGAATCACTGAACTTTTGTTATACCCCCAGAATGGTTCTTTTACAAATCAGCCTGGCACTGGAAGTTATAGTTCCACTCTCTAACAGCACGAGGAAGGTAATTGCCTGGTCAGATATGGGTTTACTAAAATGTACTGTCTGTTAAATAGTAACTCTGAAGGATCATGCTGGGTTGCAGTGCAGAGCTACCAACTGCAGAACTGATTTTCAGACTCTGACCTAAACCATATCACATCTTTTTATCTGAATGAACAAATAAATCAAGGAATATTAACTGTGGGGGGAAAAAGGCTTATATAAAACAGTTTGACATATTTTTACTCTGCCTGTGTCAAATGACCACTTTCCATCAGCATTCAGATTCTTTAAACATGCTTCGTTCCTAAAGCCTATGATGCACCCAGGAAAAAAGCCTATTTTTATGCAGACAGATTTGAATTGCTCTTTCATCTAATGAACAAGAGTATTTGCTAATTTGGCGTAGGGAATTTGCCTTAAATTAGTTTCCTTTTGTGCAGAACACATTGATGGGAATCAACAAGTAATAGGTAGTAATCTTTGCCATGACAGACTGTTGTTCCACTCAGGATGTGGATTTGCTTCAGCTTTCTTACCTTTGCTTTTTCAGGGTGAGGAAGGAGACCAAGGAATCCTAGGTGATGTTGGAACTCAAGGCCCTCCAGTAAAGTATTTTCTCTTAAATATCACTATAAGTTTGCCTCATTTAGTCATAGTTGTTTCTAAAATAAAATATTTTCATTTGTTTATAAAAAGGAGGCAGGTAAAACAATATATTTTAAAATAATATTCTCATATTGACTATAAACATAATTCCATGCATAAAACAACACAATGCAACAGCTGCTTTTCTGTTGTAAGGGCATAATTTATAACACTTTCATGCTCAAAATATTATTTTCTTTCTTTGTTGCTCTGAAAAGTAAGATTGGGCAATTATGTGATCTATATACACTTTTTCAGGCCTTCTCATCTGTGGTGTTGTTGCCTTTGACCCTAAATTTGCAAAGACTGAGAATGCCAGTTAGATCGAGCCTCTCATAACACAGGTAGAAGAATGCCTGTTTTGTGCATTCTGACAAGTTTGGAGTATGATGGGTATCGTCAAGACTTGAGGTACTTTCTGGGTTGATGCAGGAATTGATTAGGGCTTTTCAGGGCCAAATTATTGGACTTTGGTACCTAAGTTCTCCTTAAGTCCTACTTTAGGCACCTGAATCTTTTTGTGGACACTTTCAGCTCCTCTTGATCACATTTAACAGTGACATTGACATTACTTCAACACTGTGATGTTTAACAGATCAAGACAATATTTTCTGACATTGCAGTTTACTTGTGTTTGGCACCTTTGTGCAAATTATGACTGATCTCTTAGTTTCTCTAAATCTGAGCTACCTGTGTTCTGTTTGCTATTTTATTAATTGTAAAATTTTAAGGTTACCATAGTAAGTCAACATTTTTGCTGCAGAAATAGGAAAAATTTAAATAAATATGAAGAAAGCATATAGTTCTGTAAGAAATCTACATGAAAATCAGTGTATTTCTGATAAGAAGATACTAGTATGGTCTAAGTAGTCTCAACATACTTTTGACTTTTCATTTCCAGGGCCCTCCAGGTTCAAGAGGTATGATTGGAATAATGGGACCGAAAGGTGACAAGGTAAGTATGAGCAGTTATTTCTTAAAATAGAATGGAGTGAGTAGGAGGAGATGGATCACTCTATAAGTAACATTTTAATCAGTGAGTTATTACTTAAGGGCACTTTCTGGGCTTTTCCATATTTAGATTGATTTTGATGCCTTTGTCAGCTTTCTCTGACAAGTTTACTTCAGCAGTTGTTGTCATCATACTTCTGGTTAGGAAGAAAGACAGCTGTGTCCTTTCTGGTCATCTGTGTTTATGTATCAGTACATATAACTGATGTGCACCTGCTCATCTCATTCGCTTACTATTCTTTCCTTGTCCCCAGGATTTACACTTGCTTGGCATATCCTGCCTCTTGCTCTTGGATGCTTTTGGGAAGACATAAAATTAATTGTTATGTATATGTATGCCAACATTGTCCTTTTTCACTACAACTAGAATTCACTGAATATTCTGTTCGCTGAGTGCATCCTCCTCAGCTTTTCCACTTTTACTGTCTCCTGTTTTCTCTTGCTTGCCTTAGTACTTAGATCATTTCCATGAACTCAGCTCCTATTCCCAGTAACTGACAGGCTAATGCAGTGGTGTTCAACATATGGTCCACTGGCTTGATCCAGCCCCAAAGTGACTGGATCTGGCTTGTGGCATGGGGGATCAGAGGCAAGCAGCTCAGTCCAGTGCATCTCCTTCCCTGCCCTGTGCTGTGTCACTGATCCCATCTCCAACCTTCCCTCCCCTATGGCAGGCTCTCTCCCTCCCCCTCCCCCTCCCCCTCCCCTATGGCAGGCTCTGCTTACTCTCTCCTTCCTTATCTCCCTCTCGCCCTCCTGGTTCCTTCTGACATTGGCGGCCACCTCCATCCCCGGTCTCTCACTTCTCCATCCCCTGTGCAGTTTAGTTGGATTTCAAGTACCCAGCCCATTTCTCTAAAAGGTTGAGCTCTTTTGAGTAGCGCAAATCTAACCTGAGTGTCCAATGGAGGATACGGAAAACACAGCACATACCCGCTAAACTTTATTTCTTGGTGCAAGGGTCCAGTTCTCTTAGTGTTGCCGACATAAAATGCTTGTTCAGAAATTCCAATATCTCCCTTCCTGCTGCCTTTCACACTTTTTGTCTTTTCTAGTTTCCATATTACCAGGAAATTGCCCAGATTGATTAATCTTAACTGAATCCTTTGCCTTCCTTTAATCACTTTCTAAACTGATTTACTTTTTTTTTTAATTTTCTGTAATCTTCCTAAATTTATGGCCAGGATGCAGTGATTGAGCCACTTGCACATTCCCAGGAAATGGAACCTATCACATCTTTTCTAAGTAATTTTTATCAGCCTTCTCTTCTTAGAAACCAAATCAAAACCACCTTTCTGCTTTTTTAAGACTCCATGATTTGCCCTTCTAGACCTCTTGGACACATTTGCTGGCCTACTTCTGCTTCTTTTTGGTATTGTACTATTCTAGCCATATATTTCTTCTGAACTCTCTGGGTTTATTTGTCCACTTATTTGTGATGTCTTGTCTATTGAAATATTTATTGTCTTTAAGAAATTTCTTGTTCTTTCCATCTTTCCTCCAAACATTTCATTTTGGGTTGTAATTGATTCTCTATAAAGCATTGTAATACCGTTTTATGAGAAACAGTATTAAGATAAATTGCTTTACATTATGCAGTTGCCATTCACATGTTGGTGCCATTTTTTTATGATCTGTATTTATAGTGTGTTTTGAAATGATTCAGGGAAAGGATATTAGTTAAAGCCCATGATAAGTTGTTCTGTTTGGTGCTTTTTGATAGAGGACTGTGTAAAGCAGGGGTGCTCAATCTCTGACCCATGGGCCAAATCTAGCCCGCTGAGCCGTGACATCTGACCTGTGGTGCTTCTGGCATCTGGGGAGCAGTGGAACCTCCGTGTAACATGATCTAGCTTGGCTCGGGCCATTCCTGCACCACAGGATCAGGGGCAGGCCTGCCCTCTGTGCACCTGGATCAGCCCAGACTGCTCCCTGCCTCCTACATGTCTAGACAGGGGCTGCTCCACTGCCTGCCAGCGCATCTGGATTAGGGCTGGGCTCCTCCCTGTCCCCCCAACACATCCTGATTGGGGCCACCCTGTCCCATGCCCCGGTGCATCTGAATCAGGGCTGAGCTGCTCCCTCCTCCCTGGCACATACTGGGGCCACTTCAGATCTTCCTACCCCGTCATACATCTGGATCAGGGCTGGGCTGCTCCCCTCCCCGATGCATCCGGATTGGGGCTGCTCCGCTCCCCACCCACATCTAGTGTGTGTCCAGATCAGGGCTGCTCTGCCACGTGCCCCACAGTGGTCAGACTAGGGTCAGGCTGCATATCCCCCCCCAGTAGCTGGATCCAGCCTGTGGCTGGGCCTGGCACTGTCGATTTGGCCCACATGGTGAAAGGGTTGGGCACCACTGATGTAAAATGCAGTTATTAATTCCATACATATAATTGCCAGAATTCTGTATGCAAAATTTGCTCACATTTAATGTGACTTCCAAAAAGGCAGCATAAAGTTTGAAAAAGGTTAAAAAACAGTTTGCCAAAATGTTTGTATTTATGATAAAAATCCCTAAGTCACATGCAGAGAAGGGTATAGCACTTGCATCTCCCTCTAAAACAAATGAAAGTTGAAGGTGCTCCATGCCTTTCAGGATTTGCTTAGCCTCTTGTGGTGTCTCTATTTTGCAGGGTGCTCGTGGGCTGGATGGTGACCTGGGTCCCCGAGGTCTCCCTGGTGCTCCTGTAAGTAGCATTTTCTAGCAGCCAGGCCCTCTAGTGTGGCAGTACATTTTAGAAAGTTTATAGTTGTAAAGCAGAAGAGTCTGTGCACAGACAGCTGGCCATTAAGGACTGATGGTATAAACTCTTACCACACATTCTCCAGCAACCACTAAATAGGCATTATATCTGTATGTGGCTGTTTTACTGTCAAATACAGAACAGCCTGTTATGATGAGGGGAATTAGTAACACAGGACTGGAAGGAAGTCCTTAGACCACAAAAGTTAATTTGCCACATTCCCAGGCTATATTTTGTTCAAAAGAGTCCCCAACTACAACCATTTTGGTCTCTCTCATATACCTCAGCTATAAAGCACCCAGTAAAAAGAACCTCCAGTGTGCCGCAGGAGAGACAAGTCTGCTACTGCTGAGGAATTTGTGAGGATTATCTGAGTGTATTTTATGTAGGAAATGGAATGTGTCGCATGCTGCAGATTCAGGCAAAAGAAAAAAAACTAAGGGTCCTTGTCAGTCTGACCTGAGAGAAAATTCCTTCCTGACCTCAAATTTGACAGCCTGTTTGGCTTTGAGTATGAGAACAAGACTCATCTGCCACCATTCCAACATCATTAGGAATACCTTTGCCACCAAACCAGTCTGCAATATCTAGCTGTGCCCAGTGTTCACAGCTTTAAGTGGAAACAAAAAAATTCCCCATAGGCTGCAGTGGTTGGGTGGCACATTGGTTGTGGAAAACACTGACATGCAACCAACAGATCCACCTGCACACAATTGTCCCCAGATGCATCTACATAGAGCATAGTGGGGCTCAGGTTTCCCCACCTTCAAGCACAAGTTGGCTATTGCACATTTAGCTGCTACTGAGGCTCTCCACTTTGGGTTGGAGCTCTTTTAGTCCCATCTGGAGTCATTGCAGCATGATGCTTCTTCTAACTCCTTTCTGGGTGACATTTATTTTCAGTAGCCCAGGCTGCCATATTAGTTGTACTTCCTTTTACAGAGTTAGCCTAGATATTAACTCTGATTTTTTTTCTGAAAGTGTTTTTCAAAATCCCAGCTTCCAGACAGTCTTTTATGTGTCCTACTGACTGATTACAGTCACACTGCTCTGCATATTCATCCAAAGTCCTCCAACATATCTCCAGGCAGTGGCAATGCCAGCAGAACCCTGATTGAGAACTACTAGCCCACCAACAGGTGAATTCACCGATATGCTGACAGAGCACATGGTGTTTGACTGCTTATCTAAAAAAGATCAGTATTTATTATGTCAACTGTATTCCCACTCAGACACAGTATTTGTTTTCAAATAGTTCAGAACATCTTTCTGTAAACCTGAGAGGGGAAAAATGTGTTACGTAAGCTAGGAAAAATCAGGTCAATTTGAATTCATTTAACTGAATATTTTACCTTTATTCCACTGTCAAGAATTCTACTCATATCAATGGGAGTCTTTCACAAAGGAAAAAAGTAGAATAACATTTTATTCTGTTTTGCTGTCTAGGCTTCATTCCTATCTCAGCTAACATGGTATAGTTCAGGAGCAATTCTTTTGCAACTAATTGAGAATTTCTTATGTAAGCAACAGAAAAAATCAAACCTGCTTGGGGGCAGGGATTGTTTTCTATTTTATGTAACAAGAGTGTGGACTGCACTGCTACTTTCTTGTGCTGTTGTGGGAAAAGGAAAACATTAATAGTTTCATAGTTTGTAGGGTCGGAAGGGACCTTGACAGATCATCAAGTCTGACCCCCTGCCATGGCAGGAAAGAGCACTGGGGTCAAATGACCCCAGCAAGGTTTTCATCCAGCCTCCTCTTAAAGACCCCCAGGGTAGGAGCCAGCACCACTTCTCTTGGAAGTTGGTTCCAGATCCTAGCCACCCCGACAGTGAAGTAGTGCCTCCTGATATCTAGCCTGAATCCACCCTCTGCCAGCTTGTGACCGTTATTTCTAATCACTGCTGGTAGTGCTTGGGGGAACAGGGACTCCCCCAATGCCTGCTCATATCCCCTGACTAGTTTGTAACAGGCCACTAGATCCCCCCTCAGCCTTCTCTTGTGGAGGCTGAACAGGTTCAGGTCCCTTAGCCTCTCCTCGTAGGGCCTGCCCTGCTGCCCCGTGATCATGTGGGTGGCCCTCCTCTGAACCCTCTCAATGCTGTTCACATCCCTCCTGAAGTGTGGCACCCAGAACTGGACTCAGTACTCCAACTGCAGCCTGACCAGTGCTGCATAGAGGGGGAGGATCACCTCCTTGGACCTGCTTGAGATGCATCTGTAGATGCACAACAAGGTGCGGTTGGACTTCCTGACTGTGTCCCCACACTGTTGGCCCGTGTTCATTTTGGCATCAATAATGATTCCAAGATCCTTTTCTGCCTCTGCACTGACGAGAAGGGAGTTCCCCAGCCTGTAGGTATTCTGCTGGTTCTTCCTCCCCAGGTGCAGCACCTTGCACTTGTCAGTGTTGAAACCCATCCTGTTCTCATCTGCCCACCCCTGTAACATGTCTAGGTCCAATTGCAGCCTATTCCTCCCTTGTAGCGTGCCCACATCCCCCCACATCTTAGTGTCATCAGCAAATTTGAATAGGGTGCTTTTTACCCCCTTGTCCAAGTCACTGATGAAGATGTTGAATGGTGCTGGTCCGAGGACCGAGCCCTGGGGGACCCCACTGCACACATCCCTCCAGGTCGAAAATGACCCGTCCACAACCACTCTCTGGGTGCAGCTCTCCAGCCAGTTAGCAACCCATTTGACTCTATAGGTGTCAACACCACAGTTCCCTAGTTTTTTAATGAGAATGGGGTGAGAGGGAGTGTCGAAGACCTTCCTGAAGTCCAGAAAGAATATGTCCACTGCTACCCCTGCGTCTAAGGATTTTGTGACCTGGTCATAGCAGGCCACCAGGTTGGTCTGACAGGACCTGCCTCTAATGAACCCATGTTGATTGTCCCTGCTGGCCCCTCGTGGACATGCGCCAGGATAATTCTCTCAAAAAGCTTACCCAGGATCGAGGTAAGACTAACTGGCCTATAGTTTCCTGGGTCCTCCTTCCTCCCTTTTCTGAAAATGGGAACCACACCGGCCCTTTTCCAGTCCTCTGGCACCACACCAGAGCACCATGAATGCTCATAAAGCCGTGCAAGGGATCCAGCAATGACCTCTGCTAATTCCCTCAGCACTCTGGGGTGGAGGTCATCAGGACCAGCTGATTTAAATACGTCCAGTCCCTCCGGAAGTTCCCTGACTGGATCCTTACTGGCCCTAGGCCTGGGTGCGCCTCCCCTGGGGCCTGAGGGGGTCCTGGCAGACGGGTTGAACTGGTCCCTGTTGAGGAAAATGGAGGCAAAGAAATCGTTAAATAGGTTAGCCTTGTCGTCTGTTGTGACACGTTAAGAGTCCAATCAACTTCTTATTGAATAAGGAGTTACCTGGCAAGCTGAAACAGTATAACAGTGGTTCTCAGCCGGGTTGCTGCCAAATTAAAACATTATGAAGGGGTGCCCTGAATCTAAAAAAGCTGTGAACCACTGGTCTGGTGTTAGTGGTCACGTCAGGCTCCCTCAGTTTTGTGTGGTCTATGAGTACTCTTCCAAGACACCATCTGTGAGGCTGTTACCCTGGTATATAATACTGGGAGCATCTACATGAAATACTAACATCACAGTAGCTTAATAATAACATTGTGCTCTAGCATGCTGGGCAAAACCATGCTAATACACTACTGTGCAGTAGTATTAGGCAACTGTGCAGTAAGCATCACTAGCTGTGCCTCAGCGGTATTATGCAGTAACATGTGTTACTGAACATTGATTTAATTCTATATTAACCAAGTACTGAACTTAATGCACAGTATCTATGGTTCATTAATGAACGTGTAGACACACCCACTGTGACTGGAATCAGTCAGCAGGATGCATGAATGTTTTTCTTAACCCCTAATAAACCTGTAATTATAAGAAAGAGACTCTAGACTTTAATTCTTAATAATAAAAGCTCATTCAGGTTTATTATTCATAAACTAGCTTATTGACCCTAACACCTGTGCCCAACTGGTACATGGTACTAGATGGGTTATTTCCTGGTATAGGTGTGAACATATAACCTTAAAGCCAGATACAAAGTACTAAGGGTTTCCCTTTTTATATGGTAATCAAACAATTTAATGTTTACAGCATGCACATTCTAGTTCTCACCAAATAATGTGACATGTTTTGGTGATATTATCTATATCCCAGTTTTCTCCAGATAAATGAAACAGTTGTACATACAGGGAAATCTGTTCATCAGGTCATTCTGATCCCAGTTTTGGTGTTTTGTAGCACTCTTATCAACGTTTACCTATCCATTGGCCTTCTAAGGCACCAAACTTACTTTTTCAATGCTTCCATTTGTGCCATGTAGAGTATGCTTAGTTCTGTTCTCAAGCCTACTTTGGTCTATGCTGGCAATAGCTCTGTGTGATTTATATATTGAACTGATCAGTGGTTTTATTTAATCTATACTGTATCAAGGTCTGCTAGATCCTGTGCTGAAAACTGTGACCTGTGATTGATTTTCATGAGCAGTTTTCAGCGTCAATGTAGTTTTGTTTAATTTATTTTCATGCATTTGGTGCTTCCTGCAGGAAATCTATAGACTCAACACCCTCCTTAGAATAGATACCAAAAGAACTAAATCTATTTTTTATTTAATAGAGGGAAATACTCTTCCTTATCTCAAAAAAGTAGAGTGAACTTCATGTGTACCTACAGTTGTCTAAATGGCCTGTTCAATATGGACAGGAGCATGGTGCAACCCAGATAGCCAGTTTCTCTGATCAGATGAATCTGTTTACATTTGTTGTAATCAATGGTCCCATGTCCATTTGCCTCAGCTGGTTCTTTGTTTATAAATATCTTGAATTATATTTCCATTATTGATGAATTCTTCCCTTTCCATATGAAATAATAGTTCTTCATAGATTAATCTGTGTGTGGGTAAGTGTGAAAGCAAAATGAAGTTTGAAAGTCAGGAGGTAGACCCTGCATCCGGAAACACCTAAACTCTAATGGGCAACTCTGGGAGTTTTGGGTTCCTAAGAAGTTCAGGACTGCTCAGGGGCCCACCAAGGTCTGTCTGCAGTACTTATGGAACTACCCAAGGCCTCAAGTTAAAACTCAAGATGCATGTAGAATGATGAATAGGTTCTCTGAACCACAGGGAATTTAATCTTTGATATTTTATCAGGTTTTGTTCTGTCAAGGTTACCAATTATTTTCATATTTTGTTGCTAAATCCAAATATTTCTTACAGGGTGACCAAGGACAGAGAGGTTCTCTTGGAGAGTTAGGTCCAAAGGGAGACAGAGTGAGTTCAAACCAATTTCCAATCTTATTTAAAAGTAAACTGTTATAATAATTAATATTGTGTGTTATAAGTTCTGGAGGTAACTTACTATGGATTAATTAATGAGTATTCTTGCAGCTGTCATTTCAACATCTTTTTTTTTTTTAATTGAAGGGCCCTCCTGGTCCAAGAGGAATAACTGGTCTCCCTGGGCCAAAAGGACAACCTGTATGTATATTTTGTTATTTAAAATGTATTTCCTCCTATAATGATAACTTATATTTCACATGCTGGGGAACAGCATTAAGGAAAGTAAAGAGTACTGTTTATAACAATGTGCTATCTGTCTTTTAAGGGCTTGCCAGGAGTTGATGGCCGGGAAGGGATCCCTGGAATGCCTGGAGCAAAGGTAGGGAATATTTTTTTACCTGCTGTTGTCAGTGCACATGTGGCTTGATATAGGGGGTTGAAATTTTGCCTGAGCTCCGTTCATCAATATGTTTAATATGTTTTTGGTTTGTGTTGCTGTATCTGGTTGTGTGGACATTGTTATAGTAATCAAAGATTTATTATTCTTAATGTAAATCAAACATTTTTTTCAGGGTGAACCAGGAAAACCTGGCTCTCCAGGGGATGCAGGACTTCAGGGACTGCCAGTAGGTATCTGGACATTCTATGGGAAAGTTAAATTCAGCTCACACATAATGAATAGACTACTCTGTGATGTACTACTGGTGTTTTTTGGATGGAAAAGCTGAGTGAACATTTAGGGAGGGTAGCACCCATGCAAGGGGGATCCTGCAGTGTGTAACTAAACTAGGTGTTTGCATAAACAAAACCTCCTGGCCTTTGACATGTTGGGGAAGTAGGTTTCCTTCATGAGGAATGTTCAGCCTGCAGTTTCACCAAAGGTTTTAGATTAAATGTTTGTTGATTTGTGGCTAGTATAGGTTGACACAAACAGCAGCTCTTAGGTCACTCAGGCACAGCCAGTAAAAGAAGGCAGGCACAGCAAGAAGAGGCTGCGAATTTTAAATCATCTTTGCACATTTTTGTTTAGTGCATTTTGGGACCATCCATTTGGGGTGCCTGTGCATGTGCGGGGTATCTGCTCCAACATGTTCTAATTAGAACATGTTGGAGCGCGCTCAATTAATTGAGTCTTGTGGAGTGTTCTAATTAGAACACTCTTAGTAGTCTCACTGATACATGTATTCAGCGTCCCTGCATTTCAAAATGGTGGCAGCGCCGTTTTGAAATGTGAGATGTTGAATACATGAGATGTTATGGGCGTTTTAATTAGAGTAGCTCCCAAGAACCACTCTAATTAAAATTTACATTGCAAAACTTAAAAAAATGACAAGCTCTCATTTCTGTGACCTACTTTTTGCCTGTTTACAAATTGGGGATAATACAGTTTATCTGTTATGTTATAAGTATTATTAATAGATGGACTTCAGGCTTTATCCATTACTGCTTGCAAATGCCTCAGTATCTTCATGTGGAATAAACTAGGAAATTATAGCATCAGGTTAATTTTTAAGAATGATTGCAGTAATCACTGTACATATGTTGACAATCTCCAAAATAACAAATAAATGATGTGTTTTTTTTTAGGGTTTACCTGGATTTCCAGGTGCAAAAGGTGTTTCTGGACCAAAGGTAAATTGTTTAAATATTCTACTTTGAACACTTCTGTTCCTTTAAAACTGGTTTTTATACTTATATACTTTTAAAGCATACAGGGAAATTTATTCATTTGCCATTTGATTAAAATGATAGTGAATAGAATTTGAAATGCCATATTTACTTGAATGTAAGATGACCCCTGCAATAATTAGATTCTATACATGGAAAATTTATAAATTTGTTATAATGTTTTTAGGTATAGAATCTAATTGTTGGAGGTTTGCCTTGAAATTGTCCCCTCTTCCCACTGCTACAGCTGGGAAATAAACCTGGGCAGGGGGTCAGCTGGTTCCTTTACCCTTTGCCTCCTACCCCCAACTTTTTCCCTCCTCCTTATTTTAAGATCCTGTTCTTCCTGAGCACATGGAAATGAAGGGCAAAATTTGCGCATAGGCAAATTACTATAGGTATCCTTTGACTTAGTTCAGCTAGAACAGAAAGAGTTTACCTTTTTTTAAACTGCTGTAAGTTTTAGCACAGATGCTCCAGAATCACACCTTTAATCAGCACTTTGGTACTTACTTCTACTTAGTACAACCTATGCATGATAGTCAAAAATGAAAAGGCTCATAACTTACTATTTAGTTCAATGGGCTGGGCCCAGCAGAGTAAACAGCTTTTCAAGCCATGATGACCCCACAGCTCAGCACTGTTCACTAAGTGCGTGTACTCCAGATACGCACCCCCTCCGACAAAGGATCCATGCACTAATTAGCCCACCACTCATGACTGGAACCAGGTGTTCTTGTCATGAGTCCTGGGATCCTCCAAAAATTTATATGCAGCTGAGACAAAGGGCAACTTGGTTTGGCTGCAAGTCATGGATAGCGAGGCTACTAATGATGTGTGACAGGCTGAGTGAGGGATCGACAGAAGGATTCTTGGTGAACTGACATTTAAGGCTGGCGAAGAAATAGGAATAATTGGAAATGGGAAAGAAAACGTGCAGCTTAGCCATGGGAGTGAAGAGGAAGTTGAAATGCATTCAGTGTAGCTGCTCACCATGTTTTGAAAAAGAGTCGGTGCTGAGGGGGACTGCATAAATTGGGCACTAGTATATATTTTGTTCAGATGGACTACACTAAAATCTGTACGTTTACTGTATGTGGGTCATATGTTTTATAGTCATGTTCAGTATTGCCTGCATTTAATCAACATCACAGTTGGTTTCTGTTACTGAGCACATGGCACTTTTGGCACAGCTTTTATGATAGATAGTGCATATATTGTACATTCCTTGTATGTGATTGTAAGTTGAGTGACTTTTGTCCCCATGCTAATTGGGGGAAAAAACGTATTTTGTATTCGAGTAAATACAGTAAAGAAAATGAATGGCAGCTTGTATAGTGCTTGGTCTTTGCAGTTCTTTTTCTGTGCAAGTAGCAAGAATTTTGGGCAAAAGATGAAAGAAGATGGTGATTCCAAACACTTAAAAGGAAGTAGTGTCTTTGTGTGCAGCATGTAATTGATCTGTGGAACTTAGTGCTACAGGGTATAAAATACTGTTAGGTACCCTAATGAAAATGGTACATACTCATGTATTGAATAGAATTACAAGGGCTGTCAATTCTAATAATTCAAATAACTAAAATTGGCAGCAGCAATTCTGCTGGAGCCTTTCAGAAATATTCACTTAGGGGTTAAGCCAAAACATTCAGTATTTTAAACCAGAAGTATCAAACTCATCCAGCCCCGTGAGCCAGATTAGTTAAATGAGACTGGTCCAAGGACCATATGAACAGTGCAGGGCTGGTTCTGCAGGCCAGATCAGACCTATGGACCCTCCCTCCCCACCGACATACTGGATCAAGCCAGTCTGGGACTGTGCTACACATGGCACCTGCTCCAACTGGTCCAGGACCCATGCTTCACACAGCACCCACCCTGGACTGCCTGGAATAGGTGCCATGGAGTAGGACCCACACTGTACATGGTACCAACATGGGGACCCTTCCTCTCCACATGCTGCACCAGGCTCCTGAGGCACCCATTCCAGGCAGTCTTGGCTACAAGCCCCACATGGCACAATGGTGACTACTCTGGTTGGTCCAGCATGTGGGGAGGGGGGCGGGTCCCAAAGAGGGTGCTGCATGGAGCCAAGACAGGTGCTACATGAACCTCGCATCCTGGGCCCTGTGTGCGCCCCATGTGGCATCTGGGCCAACTCAAGACCTAGCACTGGGGGCAGCATTAGGGGTCGGAGCATTAGGGGGCCCTGTGGCCAGTATATATTTGACATTCCTGTCTGGGCCAAAGGAAATTCAAAAACATGAAAGGCAGTTGATGAGGATTTGACTGAATGTTGCAATTCAGTTTAAGTAAGCTTGGGGTGCTACCAGGCATTCTTATACCACATTTACCGAAATCCAAGACAACTTTGAATTTAAGAGGCGGCCAGAGTCAAAATTGCAGCAGTTGCCTGCCCCCACCTTGCCTTGTAATTGAATCCAAGACAAGGAGCTTTTCCCCTCATGCTGAATTATTGTGTTTGGTTGCTCTACAAACATAAGGGAAGAAATAAGAACTGATTTTAAAGGAGTTGGGTGGAAGAGATTAGCCGGAGACAAAAAAAACAGTAAGACAAAAAATGAGTATAAGATGTTATTGGCATTTTAGGGCTGGTTAATGCCCTCATTAATGTGCTCAAACTGGTCTAAATAATTGCTGTTTTGGCACAGCTAACTTTATCTACCTTTTCTCTAACAGGGTAATAGAGGACCCCCTGGAGTACCAGGTTTGATGGGAAATTCTGGTAAACCTGTAAGATAATTTTCCCTTATTTTTGTTACTTTTCTTCTTATAAAAAATTTATCTTGTGCAAAGAATCAGCTTTCACATTTTCTCTGTCCTTGTCATTGAAACAGGGAGAACAAGGGGTAGCAGGGGCAGTGGGACCAATAGGACCAAGGGGACCACCAGTAAGTACTATTATAAGTACAATATATTTTTTGCTATGTATGCTGATGATCGTAATGCTGAAGGTCATAGTTGAAACCATTAATGTTCTGTAAATACTATTGACCACAAGTGCCAATTATGTAAATAAAATATTAAAGTCTTCAGTCAGGTGGATGCACAACACAGAAACCAAGCAACCTTGATTGGACTCAGAGTACATACTGACTTCAGATGGACCCAAAACAGAACCACAGATATTAATATCCCATAATTTTATTTCTACTAGTGACATTGAAATTAAAATCTGCATCCTTATCTTGCAGCAACCCCCTTCTTTCCCAATTGGCTGAGCAGAATATCCAGATCCAAATAGAAGGAACCATGGCTGCACATGACAGAGCCCATGGTCAGCACCAGAAACCATACCCAAGACCTTCCACACCAGCAGCACAAGTCTTACCACTTGAGCTAGAAAAGTAACTGAGTTAGTTGTCAATAAATGCCTTGCTTTTTTCCTTAATGGGGCTACCTACTAGAAAGAGAAATGATCATATGCACTGATACAGTATGTTACCTCTCTGTACTCAACAATGTGTTCAGAATGTGAAATTAGTCTTAGCCCCATTTCTAACTCTCCATTTTCAATGCACTGGAAGGCACAATATGAGCACATCTACACAAGGTGTTTACTTTGCAGTTGACTAATTAAATACAAGTACTATCCTGCTATAGAGTTAAAACTGCAGCAGCACACACGTAGAGGATCGAGGGGCTGGCTGGGGCACAAGGGTGCTTCAGAGTGGAGGCTGCCTTCTGGCTAGCCCTGCACTGAAGCACCAATACCCTCATGCCCCAGCAAGCCCCTCTGCAACATGTTGAGCTGGGGTAGAGCAGCCCCTGGCTGGCATGCTGCCAGCCAGGACTGCTCCACCCCAGCTCAACATGCTGAGAGTGAATAAACAGTTTATTCATGTGCTGTAATTGCATGTGTAGATGCACCCTGGGGTGACATAGCTCTTTAGAAGATTCCATACTTTACAGCTTTTTGCAAGTTGCTGTCTTGCCACTTGTTTCACTTTCTCACACTTACCTGGAATCTTCTGGGTTTGTGCTTGTACATGATGACACCAGTGTTTGACTCTTCTGAACCAACTCTTTAATTTTTAAGATGCAACAATTCACAGTCAAAGAACTGATTCACTTTTTCTATTATATGTGTTTACTAAATGTACCGCATAATAGCATGCTCTTTATTTTGGATCGTATCTTTGCATTACTTTTCACCATCAGATGCCTAGGAATGACACAAAACAGGTAAAGTGAAACTTGAGGAAGAATGTCTTACATTCAAAACCTTGTCTCTCTTTATGCCAGCTACATAGTTGGTCCAATGGAAGAGATCATCCTAAGAAATCCTTTCCTTTTGCATAATTTCTGCTCCATCATGGCTACAACATCACTCTTACGCTACCATAAAAATAGGTAGAGACAGGTAGTTAGCTTTGTTATTCTGAAATCAGCTTGGGCACAGTCAGCATGTTGCAACATAGTAGCTCAGTATTATGTTTGCAATTTTCTAGACTCACAAAAGCTTGGGTTCACTGGTGATATCTAAAATTGCTGGTTTGGGTGGATTGGAATTCTTTTTAAAATTGTTTTATTTGCACTGACTATTTGAATATTGTTAACAAAGATGTGAGTTATAACTGGATCAGCAGAAAGTAGTTCCCCACATAGATAATACAAGATAAGCTGCTAAACTATGCTTTTAATCTTGTAAATGCAAGTATGGGTTTATAAAATCAGCAGTCCATAGAAACAAGAGTTGACATGCTGGATTAATTATTAGGAGCCCTGTTGTAAAACAGAAACACTTGATGTAGATTAAGTGCAATGACTTTTCTTATTTGCTGTTCCAAATATCAGCCAGACATCTGGATGTGTTCCTCTTATTTTAGTTTATCATGAAATAATGTACCTATGTCTGTAAAACGTCGTGGAAAATATATCTAGAAAAGAATGACTGAACATTCATGAACATGGAGAGTGAGCTTGTAAATATTATGATTAATAAAATCATAGAAATTTACTCACCCAGCATCCATTGGATTAGGTAGAAGTAATCTGCTTTTCATTCCTAGCGTTTCCCTTACTAGTTTATAAATTACCCTTTGATGTAAGTCATGACAACATTTAACATCATTTGAGTGAGGTACATGGCTGTGATTGGCTTGCATAGGCTTCCTGTTGGCTCTCAGGGAAACAGTGCAGAAAATCAATCTCTTGCAGAAAAGCTCTAGTTAATAGCTGGAGTTGTTTAGCTTTGTTGAACCTCACTTTACTATGGGTGGATTCTGTTGGTCCTTGCCTCATGTGGAGGGAACGGGGAGCTTTCCCCTGCTGCTTTTGCAGTCCCAGTATGCAAAAGGCAGAATTTTATTTCCTGGTTTCAGGAGCACAGGGATTGCTCTGCTTCTCCTACTCAAGGTAGCTTTTTTCCTTTGCCCTCATCTTTGCACTGGTCTGTATGGTGGGAACAGACTTTACCCCTAAATGGGTGAAGTAGCCATATTAAGAGCACAAGGGTGAGAAGCTCATCTTCTACTTTGCATATAAGGTACAACATGACCCTAGAATACTAGTCCATACTATCTTAGTGGTGAAAATGGTGACCGGATTTTAATGGGAGGTATCAGCTCCAGCTTACAGTTTGGGACATTTGCTGCTGTGTGATGACCTCTGCATATGTTGGAAACAGTAATAGAGATACATATTTTCCAATTCAACTGATTCTTATGAAAGAAGGGGAATACAGGGAGAAAGAATTGCTTTTGCAGCCCCCAAACTATTTTTGTTGCTTTCTGCTGGACTATCTCCAACTTCTCCATATCCTTCCTATAGTGGAGGGCCCAAAACTGGGCACAGTACTCCAGATGTGGTCTCACCAGTGCAGAATAGAGTGGAGTACAGTGCAACCTCATGAATCCAGCATGCTTGAGACCGAGCACCTGTTGGATATGTGAAAATTCCAGATTTTTGAAACCAGAGCAGTGGCCAGTCCCGGAGCAGCGACTACATGCAGAGTGGCAGCACAGGGTGGTGGATGGCAGCGATACCTACCACGTGCAAGCTTTCCCTTCTGCTGCTCCGGGACCGGCTGCCACTGCTCCCCAATGCAGTGTAGTTTTAAAAAGTTAATTCTGGATTTTTGATAGCTGGATTTATGAGGTTATACTGTAATTACATCCCTCAATCTGCTGGCAATGCTTCTACTATTGCAGCCCAGTATGCTGTTCGTCTTCTTGGCAAGAAGGACACATGTTGACTCATATCCATCCTATTGTCCACTGTAACCCCCAGGTCCTTTTCTGCAGAGCCTCTGCTTAGCCAGTCAGTCCCCAGGCTGTAGCAGTGCATGGGTTTCTTTCATCCTAAATGCAGGATTTTGCACTTGTCCTTGTTGAACCCTATGAGATTTCTTTTGGCCTAATCCTCCAATTTGTCTAGGTCACTGTGAATCCTAGCCCTACCGTCCAGCGTATCTACTACACCCCCAGCTTTGTGTCATTTGAAAAGTTGCTGAGGGTGCAATCCATCCCATCTTCTAGATTGTTCATGAAGATATTGAACAAAACCAGCCCCAGGACTGCCCCCTGGGGCACTCCACTTGATACTAGCTGCCAGCTAGACACTGAGCCATTGATTACTATCCATTAAGCCTGATAATCCTTTCTGTCTACCTTACAGTCCATTTATCCAACCCATATTTCCTCAGCTTGCCTTCAAGAATGCTGTGGGAGATGGTATCAAAAGCCTTGCTAAAGTCAAGGTATATTATGTCCACTGCTGTTTCCTCATCCACACAGCCAGTTATCTCATCAAAGAAGGCAATCAGGTTGGTGAATCCATGCTGACTGTTTCTAATCACCTTCTCCCCCAAGTGGAGGAGAAATGGATTGTTTGAGGACCTGCTCCATGATTTTTCCAGGGACTGGGGTGCGGCTGGCTGGTCTGTAGTTCCCTGGGTCCTCCTTCTCACCGTTCTTAAAGACGGACACTATATTTGCCTTTTTCCATTTGTCCAGGACATCCCCTGGTTGCCATGAGTTTTCAAAGATGATGGCCAGTGGCTCTGCAATCACATCAGCCAACTCCCTCAGCACCCTTGGATGCATGGACTTGTACACATCTAACTTTTCTAAATAGTCCCTAACCTGTTCTTTCACCACTGATGGCTGCTCACTTCCTCCCCAAACTGTGCTGCTCGGTGCAGTAGTCTGGGAGCTGACCTTGCCTTTGAAGACTGAAGTAAAAAAGGCATTGAATATTTCAGCCTTTTCATCATCATCTGTCATTAGGTTTCCTCCCCTATTCAGTAAGGGACCCACACTGTCCCTTTCTCTTGTTGCTTATATATTTGTAGAAACCCTTCTTGTTACCTGTCACGTCACTTGCTAGCTGCAACTCCAATTACACTTTGGTCTTCCTGACTTCATCCCTGCATGCCTGAGCAATATTCTTATACTCCTCCCAAATTGTTTGTCTAAGCTTCCACTCTTGTTAGCTTCCTTTTTGAGTTTAAGCTTACCGAAGAGTTCTTTCTCCCTGTCGTTCCTTTCTATCTGTTTTAACAATTTTTATGTGTGCGTGTTCCAAGGGGATTTGTTTTTGGTATATGATCAGGAGCTTGTAAAAAATTCCTGATTTGTGCCAACAGTGCCTGAGAGTAGGCACCCAGGTGTGCACTGAAGAGCACCCAGAGAAGTGGACCAGGTGGCACAAATAAAACTGTCACCTTATCACAGAATTGCTTTGCCTTCCAGTATAACACTTAGAAATAATAATCATCATCATCAGCTCATCGGGTAGTGAACAAAATATCAAAACAGGGCTTAATGTGTATCTACAGACATTGTTCTTCCTTTGTTAGTACTGAAATTTCATTCAAGCCATGATGGTAGGGTACAGCCTCCTGCTGGACAAGTTGGAGTTTGGGTGTGATGTAAAGCCAAAGAGATGA